TTTCTCATTTGCGTTCCGATTATTTTACCGATTTCGTTGTATTCTGCTAAATTTATTGTGTATATCTATATCTATATCGATATTCTTTATGTATACACATCTTTTTTGAATGCACGTGTTGCATATAAATATAATTATATTGAGATTTTCCATTTACTTTGATAAAACGATAGTAACTTCGCTTTTCGATTAGCCTTCATTTATGTTATGCTTACTACTATCGCTATCGCAATTTTTTAAGTTACACTGAGTACTTTAGATATTCATATTGTAACGGTAATATTAAAAAATAAACCCAAGCTTTTGTACTTAATCGGCATATTGACCATGGAGTACATATCAGAGCTTTATAAGCGATTTTTTCAGTCACACCGCTCTTTATAATAAAATGGCGGTTTGTTTCACTACATACTTTGCGTTACAAATAATGCATCCCGTTCCGAACTATCGAAATGGGTGCCAATCTATGATCATGACATCAAACAATGTTTACGTTATAATAATGCTGCTTCATTCCGTTTACATTGTTCTATTTGGAGACAAAATAAGTTCCGTTCCTATTGGAACTCCCATGCTAACAGACAAATATTTTGACATGTTGATAATGTGATTATAACACATGAATGACATCCAGAATAAATCCTGCTAAATGTTCTTTTTCACAAATATATTGGATAGATCATATTATAAACACAACCTCTATCTGCAGCAATAAATGTATATGATAAGAACTGGCGTCTATAGGACAATGATCCAAAGCACATGCCAAGGGCTTTATTGTCAAAGGTGCATGGATTGGAGATCCAGCAGCTCTGAATGCCGAACAATATCTGTCATTAATTTTGTGATTTAAAATGTGAGATGATCTCTGATCAATCGGTTCTATGTGAATTGGTTTTAGAAGAATTTATATTGAAATTTATATATTGAATAAAGTAATAAATTAGCTTAAAATAAGCATGATTGCATTAAAATATTTTAATTTCTCCACCGTTTTTCGCAATACACTATCATGACATTTCTCATTTCACTACTTTAAAGATCCTTGTAACTTTATTTGTTTTATGTTCTAATTATTCTTAACGATCAATAACCATGCACTTATCCAAAAAGGCATGTTATCAATGGAGGTATTTATAAAGAATGAGTAAACATTCACGTAGTGTTTCGGGCGAAACCAGGTTCGCCCAATTTGATTTACAAAGTGCTCTTAAATCAGGATTTCGGATAGTTTCGGACTTCTAGAGCGAAACTGAAAATTCATTGGACGAAACGTTTCGGATATTGAAAATAGTTTCGCCCGAACCACTATAAATATTTGATTGCTTATTATTGGATGTATTGAAGGAAATAACCAGGCAGGCTTTTTTTTACTATTCGTGTTTATTAAGAATACATATATAGAAAACGAATTGTTTTTTGCCACATCAAAGAGAATCGAATACAATTGATCACATGGCTAAAATCTCATTCCGATATCAAGTTCACGCATAACAATCACATATCCGATATGTTTGAAACAATATTAAATAGTTTTAATTGTCAATTGCCAAGATAACAAAGCAAACTTGTCATTTTCAAGATTTTTTTAAAAATACTTAACGCGCCAAGTCCTAAGCCTATCGAGAAATCTTTGTTTATTATAATCGAATTCATAGCTATACTTTCTGTCCAAGGCCCAATATATGATAAATTAAATTTGGGCCTACTCAGGTCCCAAATTTTGTCCAACTTAGAGTTTAAATAATTTTAGTTCGTATCCTAAAAATGACTACAGCCTTTCATTTATAAGAAAGGGGATTTAGTAATCATATGACATTGCACAAACATGATCGGTTTCGCAAGGATATCATTTTAATATGACCATTTGCTGTTCGTAACAACATTTTCGGTAAATTGTACATGTATTACACAAACACAACACGAAAAGATTTAAAAATTAAGGATATAACCCCATAACCCCAATAAAATTTCACACGTTTTATATCAATAGATTGAAACTTAGATATCATTTATGTTAAAAGGGTTTGTAATTGTGGCCCTGTACTGCAACAGTTTTTTATCTAAATTGTTTCTTTAGTCTAGAAAGCACTTATTCGGAAAGTTGATTTTTAATTTTTAAAACGCCAATGTACTCATAGTTATTTGGCTAAACTTTAATTCTTTAAATATGGCTGGCAAAAACAAAGGCTGAGGAAATTAACAATGAAACCGAAAAATTCCTTTGTTTAAAAAGTTTCAATGATAAATCTATATTACATATCGATATTCAATTTGAATCACGCAAGTACTTAAGGTTAAGTGTAAAGATTTTTTGGTGGGAATATGTATTTCCATGTACCTATAATATTTAATATTATTAGGCTAGAGCGAGCCTGTAATTCGTAAAGCCGCCTCTAAGTTTTCTACATTTTTATTCTTTGCACAAATAAAGAAATTCTTCTATTCGCTTTTATGATATGGACAACCTATACTAGATAAACTTGGATAAACAAAATTTGACTATGCTTGATATCACCCGGTACAGAGAAATATTGAAATTACAACTAATAGTTCACAAAAATATTAATTATTTCATAATTTAGTATAATTAAATTTGTAGTCTCAGGCTTCTTAATACATTTTTATTTCGATTTCATGTAACTAACAGAAATTCTTATGCAGTCAACTCTCGTTAAACCGACCATATTTTCCTTCGAATTAACTATGTATTTTAATTAAATATATGTAAAATATAGATAAAATATGTGACTGTTAACCCATGTTTATTTAAAAATACATAGCCGACCCCCGTTAAATCAAAGAAAATATGGTCGGTTTAACGAGTGTTGACTGTAGTCAATTTACATTTAAATAAACTTTATGGAACAATAACAATTAATTTTTTATGAAAATCTCTTAGCGAATTGATTTTGCTAATAGTAAACGAACTTTCTTCCGGAATATTTATAAAAAAAAATACATAAACGAAATGATTCTCGGTAAAGATTTTCTGAAACATATGTGATATGGCACTAAATAACTTTTCTTATTACAAGCTGAAAGTATTATTTTACTTAGCGTTAGTACTACATTTAATTATATTCAATTTAGGGATCGACATTGGTTTTTTATTATTAATCTAGATTCGAGTATATCGATATACGTATACCGTTACGTATGTACGTAATCAATTAGTACCGGTACTTGTAAAATTTTCATTGGTTCTTATACGGATCACGAATTACATGTAACATAAAATGTTGTGAACAGAAACGTTTATATACAAGTTATTAATATTTAATATGCTCAAAAATAATAGTGTAACTACATGTACGTATATAAATTTTCACTAAGGTGTGACTATATAGGAAGTGACTAGTTCTAAATTCGAAAATCATAAAACATAAAAATAATACACATGTTTATGAGTTCAAATTATAGATAAGAAGGTACGTATATACATGCATGATATGAAAGGGCGCAAATTAATAAGTGAATTAATTTTTATTATAGCATAATTGTACAACAGACTATGAAAAATGAAATGATCAAAGAGCTTGATTTGCATTCTTTATGAAATCGAAAGAAATGAACCATTACTTTGATTTATTGGTTTCCGAGATCTGATTAAGTTCAGGTCAATCATGAATAATAAAATTTTTTATATCCTGGTACAAAAATCACCTATTTTCAGCTCTACACAGCAGTGTTGCCATGGAACAGGTCTGGTGGTTATACTGGACAATGGTCCAAGTTCTAGTGGCTCGCCAACACTGCTACACAATACCGGTGCATTGTTTTAAGATTCACATCGATCTTGAATAACAAAATGATGCATGTCAATCTCAAACCTCGAAATGACCGGAATTGAGTGGGTTCCGAAACAACGTCATCGACAGTGGCTGGCTCACTCAAGAAATGGAACACGAGATCAAAAAGTTTTCTCAGTAAATATTAATCTAAACAAAATAAACAAGTATTCATTTAAACCTCGAAATCTCCTGTATTTTTCAAACAATTTGACAACATATCAATTTAACCATTTTTGTGCAATTGAGTGATTTAGGTCAGTTTTTTCAATTAATGAATTTCGACCTACAGAACTTCTTTCCTAAGAAAAAAATACAATTTGGACCACTAATCAAAAATGTTTTAATCTACCTACATACCAATACCGAAATTCAAATTTCATTAATTCGACTATCTTAAAGCCAATTTTTATGAAATATGGTATTAGGTAGATTTCATAGAGTAGAACATTTTTGGTCAGTGGTCAAAATTAGGTCTTTATCTTAGAAAAAAAGTTCTGTAGGTCGAAATTTACTAATTGCAAAATTTGACTTAAATAAACTTCACAAAAATGAGTACTTGTTTGTTTTGTTTAGATTAATATTGACGGAGGTAAAAATTTTGATTGCGTGTTCCCTTTCCACTGTAATTTTGACAATTAGAAGTTGGTGCCGGTTCAGTGCAACCGGTTTTAATCCGATTAAACTGATTGAAATGAACAGGTCCAACCTCTAGTCTTTGTCTTGAGAAATATTCATAAGACAAAGACTTCGCATCTATAATATTAAAAGTACGAAGCTGATAAAATAAAAATTATTTTATATATTTTCATTAGGCAGAGACTTCATATGTATAGTGTATATACGTAATGCAAAGCTGATAATATATATATTTTTTTTATAATGGGTCTCAGGTTGTGCTTTTTCGGGTACTTTGAATTGACAAGCAGGAAAAGGAATTATGCAGCGGCAAAAATCTGCGCTTTTAAAAAGAAATCGATGAATGAATTAGTTTACGTAAATGAAACATTGTTTTATTTGTAAGCCACTAATTGAAGTACAGAGGGGTGACAAAAAATTAGGACGATCGTTAATTACGTAGAAAGAAATGTACTCTACGCACATATTTTACTACTAATAAATGCGTCTCAATAGTGGATTGCATGTACATTTTTTTCTATTACTTCGCTAATACGTTCTGGCATTGAGTCTATAAAGTAAAGAATTTTCTCAAGTATTCCATGCGGCAAATACGGCTTCCTCCAAGTCAGCTTCTGTCTGTGGTTTTCGGTTCTTATAAATCCAGCATTTAATCTCTCTCCACACATTTTCAATTGACTCAGGTCTGGTGATTGTGGTGGCCACTCCATTGTCACAATTCCAAAATTATCTTTACAGATTTTCTCTTGTGAATTAATGCATTATCTTCTTGAAATATTGCCTCTTCTGCAACCATAACCATTGGGTAAATTACATCTAAAATAATGTTTCCACTATTCATATGTGATGGTGCGCGAATTAAATAACTTAAATTGAGTCCACTCACACATTCCCAGACCATAATAGAGTTTCGACCACTTTAACGGTTGCTTGTGTGCACTTTGGATTATAAAGCTCATCATTATGATACCAAACTCGAACTTTTCCATATGAATCGTGCTGATAGAGGATTTGTCAGTCCAAAGAACGCGTCGCCAATCTTTTTTGGTCCAATTTTGTGAATTTTAACCGATTTTTTCATTAATCCATGGTTTTTTACGTGCAATATGGAATTTGATACCATTTTTCTTTAAACTTCTTATCAGGGTACGTGGAGATATGTTATTAGATGAGATTTTAGTGGCAAGCAGGCGTTTTGGCATTCTCCTCATCATTGGATTTGCTTAATTTTTCGAAAAATTAAACGTTCAGAACGATCCTCAACAATTAATTTTCGGCCACTATTCTTTCTTTTCAAATAACCACAATTTTGGGTCAAGTTGATTCGTTTAATACAGTTTTTGACACGAGTAGCTGATTGTTCAAGGACGCGTGCCATTTTTGCAGCAGACATGCCTTGTTTCTTGAGTATTTCGACAGTGTGGCATTCTCCGCTAGTAAGAACTTTGTTGCGACCCATTTGTATATACAATTTGAATTTCGAGTTTTATTGTATTTAAATAGTAAATTGAACAAAAACGAACATCTCTTGTTACCAGACAAAAGCATACAGGTTCAATCTTAATGTTGTTATTATTATTGCTATATACTGCGACATACTAAAGCTTTTAACGATCGTCCTAATTTTTTGTCATCTGAACGTACTTCGACACGAAGAGCAATCTCTATTGAAATATTTTTTGTAATAACGAGTTATTTTACCTTTACGATATGATATCATGCATCATCACATAATGTACGTATTTGTATACCAGTAAAAATCACATTTGTTATCTTTTCAGGATACGTACATATCTAGAATGCCAATGAATGATTTTCAATTACATGTATTAGACTGTAAACAGATTTTTGGCTCACTTTGGGTATCTTTAGAACATTTCAATAATACTCTACTTTCTGATATTTTGCATATCCTTTATTATTTAAAATTAAAAGTTTTGAGAGTACTTGAAGTGTTATTCACTTTGTTTAGAATATAATAACAACTTAAATTTCTTGTAACTTTCTATAACATTTTGTGAATGCAGGATATTGAAAAATATTATAAAAAATTTTTAAGTTTTTATTAGTAAAATTTTTAATTTTAATAATAATAAATATAGAATCAAGTATAGTTAACTTTCTTTATAGTCACATTATCAGAGTTAATAGTAATTTTTTTATAAATATGCTTATAGTAGAATTTTATAATAATGTATTTATAATAAGATGCTTTTATTATAATTAATTCTTGAAAAAAGAATAATTATACTAGAATTTTTATATGATATAACTATAAAAAAGATAATTATAAAGGAATTTGATTATACACTCAGTGGACAAAATTTTGTAATTAGAGATCAATTTTATTAATAAAACATAGTAAAAATTGAAATTTTCTCTTTATATTAAGTTTATAATTTTATTAAGAAATAATTTTTGTTTTTATATTAAAA